TTGGATAGTCTGTGCCCCGCTGTGTTATTTTCCCAACATATATCCGGATAGTTGAAGTCCCCCCATCACCACCATGATATCCTGGTCCTTCTCTGTATTGGCAATACCTCCCAGCTTTGTGTCATCCGCAAACTTTATTAGCACACTCCCACTTGTTGTGCCAAGGTCAGTAATAAAAAGATTAAATAAGATTGGTCCCCAAACTGATCCCTGAGGAACTCCACTAGTAACCTCCCTCTAGCCTGACAGTTCACCTTTCAGTTTGACCTGTTGTAGTCTCCCCTTTAACCAATTCCTTATCCACCTTTAAATTTTCATATTGATCCCCATCTTTTCCAATTTAGCTAGTAATTCCCATGTGGAACCGTATCAAATGCCTTACTGAAATAGAGGTAAATTAGATCCACTGTGTTTCCTTTGTCTAAAAAATCTGTTACCTTCTCAAAGAAGGAGATCAGGTTGGTTTGGCACGATCTACCTTTTGTAAAACCATGTTGTATTTTGTCCCAATTACCATTGACCTCAATGTCCTTAACTACTTTCTCCTTCAAATTTTTTTCCAAGACTATGCATACTACAGATGTCAAACGAACAGGCCTGTAGTTACCTGGATCATTCCCCCCCCCCTTTCTTAAAAATAGGAACTATGTTAGCAATTCTCCAGTCATACGGTACAACCCCTGTACAGGATGTCTTCATCAATGTGGTGTCTTCATCATTTGTTAGAAAATGTAACTCTGTGTTTAGCCGATGACTTAATTAGAAAATCTCTAGTCAGCTGGCAATGAATGTTAAGTCATTATTTAACAGGAAAATGTGAAAGTTATGTTTCCATCTGTTTTTACTATTAATTATCTCGGAGTATTAAAATTAAATAAAATCTTAAACCTAACACTAATTGGTAGTTTGAGTGGTTGTGGCAGTAAGTTGCTGGAGGGAAGAGGATTCAATGAAAAGAAATTAATGTTGTGCAGCTCTTGAATTTTACAGCTTTTGTATCTGTTTTGGAAGCCTTCTGCATACCTACAATAGCTGCTGTGAAAGAGTGATTAGCAAATTTTCTATCCTCCAGCACTACTTGTCTCTTTAGACAAGTATCAGTACAGGCCACCTAATACTTTAAATCAAGAAATTACTGTTGAAACGCCTCTCCCCGGTGCAGCCACTTCAGTCCCTTTCCCCTCTCCTTCTCATGTCAGAGAGGTGTGTGTGTGTGTGTGTAATTTAAACAGGCTATATTTGCCCCTATGTTACAGTGTTAGAAAGGTTTCCTCTAGTGGAAAGTCTAACTGGAGGGGCATGGCTGTGTAGGCTGCCCACAACCCCCACTCAGCTGGGGCCCTTCAACAAGCGAGTGCAGCTCTAAGCACTAGCTGAGGAGGGAGTATGGACACAATGGTCAAGGCATGAGTCTCTGTCAAAAGGGCACCTCTGGAGCCTATCTGCATGTAAAGCATTGGGCACCCTTCTTTGATGTGTGAGCCCTAGGGACAAATGGTGGACATAGTGGCCCCCTTGGCACAGGGGCATGTGATTAGCACATCTGCCCTGCCAGGAGGGAGTCAAGCCCAGGAACAGTCATCTGACTCCCTGGTGCCAGTGCCAAAAAGTTTCAAGATCCCTGCTTTGGCAGCTGCAGGAGAAGTTTCAGAGTCAGAGAGCATTGTGATGACAACTAGTGCCATCCTCAAGGGGACCAAGTCCATATAGGACAAGAAGGGTGTTCCAGCGAAGTATCGATTGTTTCAAGTTCAGAGCAGTCAGATATGCCTTAATGGCATTGGTGCCCAACCTTGTCAGCCGGGCTGTGCTAGTTATGGCCACAATACCTTGGCAGTGGTTTGTATCAGACCCTCCCCACTTCCTGAGGGAACTCAAATCTTCTCTGCTTATGGGTGGAGAAGAGTCTATTGTCCTTTTGAGCCCTGCATGTAAAAGGGAAGCTGGATGTTCAAGCAGGCTAGCTGAGCAGACAAGTGATAGATAGGCTTAATCTGATGGTATCCAGTTTGCAAATTAATTCCACTCAATAACCGACCTAAAAGTGGCAATTCTTCAACAACAAAAACTTCAAAAACAGACTCCAATGTGAAACTGCAGAACTGGAATTAATTTGCAAACTGGATACCATCAGATTAGGCCTGAATAAAGACTGGGAGTGGTTGGGTCATTACAAAACCTAAACTTAATTTCCCCATTACTAATTTTTCCCTACTGTTAGTCACACCTTCTTGTCAACTGTTTGTAATGGGCCACTCTCTTACCGCTTCAAAAGTTATTTTCCTCCCTTGGTATCCTGGTGTTAATTGATTTATCTCGTTAGACTGACCTCACACTTGGTAAAGCAACCCCCATCCTTTCATGTATTTATACCTGCTCCTGCATTTTTCACTTCATGCATCTGATGAAGTGGGCTCTAGCCCACGCAAACTTATGCCCAAATAAATTTCTAAGTCTCTAAGGTGCCACAAGGACTCCTCGTTGTTTTCGCTGATACAGACTAACACGGCTACCACTCTGAAACCTGTCAAGGTATTAGAGTAGTTTATTGGCTGTTTCCGTCTCTTTGGTTCTGGGCACAATACAAGGGTTCCAGGGTTCTATTCCCAATGGAGGGAATCAGGAAGCAGTAGCCACAGATGTGGTCTTGCAACCATGGTTCAGAGGATTGCTATGTACATGTCTCCTGTTCCCCACAATGTCTAAAGTGATTCAGAGAAGGAAAGAGAATGCAGATGTTGTTCTGGTATCTCCATGTTGGGGGGGCCCTGGCCTGCAAGACCGGGGCTTCTGATAATAAAATAGATGGCAGTCAGCACCTCCACTCTTTTTCCCACACAGGAAGGACTTTCAATAATAAGGACCAGTTCTGAAGCTGGATTCCCTACCTGCGTGAAGCTAGCTGTGTGACTTTAAAGAGGCACCAACTAAAACAAGAAGTTTTCTTTGAGTATATGCCAGGCTCCTTTTTTAGAAGGAATGAGCCAAGTATTGCTGCGTTATCTGGATTTACTCCAGATTAGTAGTTGTGTAAGGAGAGCAGAATGTGTTCTGAGCAGGTTTATTTGGGAATAAACTAAGTTGAAAATTGCCATTCATTCAGAAGGAAAATAACCAGTTTTCTCTGAATGCCACGTTACAGGTTTACAGCTCACTTTGCGCTCATTAAGTGATATGATCAAGAGCTGAGTTTATTCTTTACCAGATAAGTACTTATGTGGATATAGATTATAAGCCTCCATGTCATAGTGCAAGTTAAATCAACCATTTGTTTTATAAAGATGTATTTTTTAAATTGTTGCTTAAATAAGATATTTTTAAAATGAATGGATAATTGGGGTTTTTGGTTTATTTTCTCAAGAATTCTGTGCCTCAATATAATAAAATTTATTTGAAACTATGTACCATAATAACACGAGAGGTAGAAAACAGCAAAACAAGTTACAGGCCAAAGAGCAGTCAAGCATAAAGACAAACACAAAAATCCCCTTTACCAAGCAAAACGTTACCAAATTCAGCGCATTTTACTCATTCTTAAGGCCAGGGCGTCACGTCATATCTACCTTTAGGTGCTTTTAAGAATTTTCCCAGCACCGAATAAGCTTTTTAAAGGCCAGCTTAAAATCTTCATTAAAACTAGTGTACAGCAGAGGGTTGATAAGGGAGTTGACATAGCCAAGCCATGTCAAAAAGTCAGCTACTTCTGCAGACACCGTGCGAACGCTCAGGCCCACAATAAGCTCCTTAATGAAAAATGGCAACCACGACAAGATGAAAGCCCCTAAGATCAGTCCCAGGATGCGAGCAGCCTTTCGTTCCCGTGTACTGGAAATCTGCTGACGGTCACCAGCCAACTCCAGGTCGTTATCAATAGGAGGAAGTCTCACTGACGCGTGTATTTTATCAAATTCCGTGGTTGGGTCAGATGTCGAGAAGTCTGACACGCAGAACGTCTGCGTGAGCTTACAACTGGCAAAAGAATTTTGGCTGTCGGTGCTCCTGTTGCTTAGGTGGCGGCTTGACCCCCGTTTTTGGTATAGGCTTTTTGCAGCGTGGTAAATTCTGTAATAGAGGATCAGTATTAGCGTCAAGGGGATATAAAATGCCCCAAAAGTGGAGTAAATAGTGTAGATCACGTGATCATGTTGAATGCGACACTCACTGGGAATTGTGACGCTGTGATGGTTTCTCCAAAACAAAGGTGGCATTGAAATGAAAATGGATATAGTCCATACAGTGACTATCATAAGCCCGGCCCTTTTTGCCGTTCTTTTCCTGGCGTATTCAATAGCATCTGTGATCGCCCAGTATCTATCTAGTGCAATGACGCAAAGATGAAGAATTGAACACGTGCAACAGGTCATGTCAACGCTAAGCCATATCTCACAGATGAAATATCCCAGTGTCCACGTATCCATCACTATGTATGTAATACTCAAGGGCATGACTAAAAGAGCAACAAGCAGATCTGTCACAGCTAGTGAACATATTAAGTAATTTGCAGGCTGGTGTAGTTTCTTGGTGGTGCCAATTGCTGTAATTACGGCAGAGTTCAGCAGCATAGTCAAAATTGTGATTATGGCCAAGGTCAGGGTAATAAGCATCTTTTCGGTGACTGTTTTGGGTTTGACAGCCACGTTGGCTTCTGTTGTGCAGTTTGTGAAATTCATTCCCCCCTCCCCCTGCCCCAGGATACACAGAGAAAAAGGCTGCCACTTCTAGATGTTAATGGCTCCCATTCAAAATTCCTCCATTTGCGAAAAGCTTCAGATGTGAAATTATTTATTTATGTCCCATTTTCACTAGATCAGCTCAAAACATCCAGTTTTCCTTCTGCCCAGAACATCCAGTGTTCCTAGAAGATAAAAATTATATCAGTTAATCAATGTAGAAAATCCAACGTTTCTTCTGTAAAAATCCTAGTCTTTTAATGTTATTGCCTCAAACAAGAATGTTGGTAATTTCCTTCTCTCTCCCTCCGCCCCCCGCCCATTTCTTCCTCGCTGCTGTTCACTTTTCCTGCTACTGCATAGTCCCAAAGAACACTTTGGGGCTAGATACTCAGCTGGTATAAACTGGTGTAGCTCCAGTGACTTCAGTAGATCTATGCCAGTTTACACCCTCTTAGGATCCGGTTCTTTTCTTTCCTTGCAAATCAAATTCCAAAACATGAGTAGAGAAAATCTATCCTGTTACTTTAATTGCTGTCTTAAAACGCATTACCCCTGCATATCTTTTTTAAAACAAAAGCTCATTTCAACTAATGCTTACTAGTTTTTATAGATTTCAATTATTTTTTCATATTCACATGTCTGTCTTTAATATCCTGGAAACAGCACGTTTTAAAAAAAACAGATTATTTTATAATAAGCAGCCTTCAAACAAATGTTTAAAGGTTCATAACAAATATTCAGCTTCACACAGTACATTAGTGTTGCTAAAAAGCTATGCAGTTTTGTGTAATTACTGCTGACATTTGACACATCTTACTGTGCATGCCTTTGGAGGAGAGACAAAAAGCATATGCCTTTGCTTTGAGGTTTACATCAACTTCTTCTCACTGTCACACAAGCCAGTGAGATGACAAGCACCAAGAAATCTCAAAAGATCCTATTTTGAAAATTTTTTGATAGTATTTTATTTTGAAAAAGTTCAAATGACAATTACAGATTTCAGACCTAATGCCATATTCCTTTTACATCTCAAGCCCACTGGTATCAGTGAGAATGCTGTGTACTCATGATGTACAGGACTGAATTTGCTGTTAGCGTAACACCAACAGACCCCGGTCGTCAGGATTGAACCTGGGATCTCTGGAGCTTAGTGTATGAGTCTCCACTGCGTGAGCTAAAAGTCATGGGGCCCTTAGCTAAGGCTATAGCAGAGTCATTAATCTCTAAGTGGTCTCAGTGCCACTAGATGGGACACAGCACCACACCCAGGAGGTGCGTGGGTTACATTAGCAACAGCTGCAGTAGGCAGCTCTAAATTCCCAGGAAGGCTTTCAAAAGTGACTTTGTTGTACCAGTTATAATTAATCTGAATACAGAGGACATGGCAAATTTAAGGCCTGCTTCATTAAATCAAGTCAATGGAAAGACTCCCACTGACATCAGCAGGACCTGGATCCGACTTTAATGGTGGAAAGTAGATCTATAATCTCATGTTGTACATAAACAAAATAGGAAGAGTTTTAAAGGTTTGGTCTAAATGAAAGCAAAAGAGACCTCCCGAAAGCTAAGTCCTTTTCTGTCATATAACTACCCTTGGATAAAAAGTTAGTTCTCTTCATTAAAAACAAGTGTGAGAAGAGTGATAGAAGCTCACATATCAGATTCGTGGTGTGGTTGGGTTAAAATGATTGTTAGTTGGAATAAGCCAAAAGACAAGTCTTTGGAGATAACTGATTGTGCTAGTTTGGGGCCAGAATGTGGCTGCCCTCTCTGTGCAAGAGAGGGATAATGCAAAGAGCCTTCACCCATCCCATTGCACCAAGGCCAGGCACAATTGCAATTCCTATGCACTTCTTAGTACAAATGTCTGGCTAGTGTTTCCTGGTGCACAAGTCACCCCCATGGCAGTGGGACATGACCTCCTTCCCCCTCCACACCAGCCTGTGGAGCTGGCCAGTTGTAGAAGGGAGCACATGGAGTACCTTGGTGCAATGGATGTACTCCCCGCCTCTTAGCCTTGGTTCCCTGGGAGCTTCAGGAAACATTGTGATTCCTTGAGGCACAATGGCTCCTGGAGCACCTCCTAGGGACAGTGCAACTCTGTATAGCCCCCAGCATGGCCTCTGCCTAATATTGGCTGTCTGAGGGGGTTTAATGGACATAAGAACTGCTTATTGCAATTATTCTCAAATGGCTTTTCACTTTGATTTATTTTTAGGGAGCGGAGCCTTTGAGCTCTTTCTCTCTTTGCACCCAATAGATGCCTTGAAAAGTACATTCTTTTCTTGTTTAGTATAATGTCCTTAAGTAAACTATCCTAGTTTAATAGGCACAAGTGCAAATGCCCTCAGTAGAACACAACTTACTGCTGGGTGCACATCACAACTCGGTTGTTTGTGTTCTGCTGCTCAACAGGATTGGATTTTCCCTCTGGAAACCACTGCAGTAATTGAGAAGACTGAGCAAACAACCAAACCAAACCAACACAACTCCCTTTCCCACAAATAAAACCCCAAACCAACCACAACAACTTCTCTCTATAAAGCATAAATCTGCAGGTAGTTCAGAACAGGCTGAGAGGCCAGTTTCAGGTCAACAATGTTCTGATTCCTTCCTGTCAAAATCCATAGCTGTGAAAGCTGTTTCCAATACCTGTGCTCAGTGTTTGGAATGAACTTTGAGCATGAGGGATAATAGCTACACCTCTACTCCGATATAACGTGACCTGATATAACACGAATTCTGATATAACGCGGTAAAGCAGTGCTCCGGGGGTGGGCGGGGCTGTGCACTTCAGCGGAGCAAAGCAAGTTCGATATAATGCGGTTTCACCTATAACGCGGTAAGATTTTTTGGCTCCCGAGGACAGTGTTATATTAAGGTACAGGTGTATTTGTGTGTAATATGTATTTCTATGTTCAAAGAACAGCATTAAGGCTGCAAAGTCAAAGTCACTAGTTAGAAAATGCCAGAATGAAGTTTGCCTGTGCAATCTTATGTGCATGCACTACGATACGGCCTTGAATTACGTGATCCCACACTATATTATCCATAGGACCGCTGCCTCATTCAGTGTCCAGAATGTACAGAATGTCTCACTTAATGATAAGCTAGTCAATATTTTTTCTCCTGAGTTTTCAATGTGCTGCCCACTATTTTTTACTGCACACTATTAAACCCTACTCTAAAGACAGAATTATGAATTTCCTTATGGACTTTTCTCTGGTGCCCATTACTCTAATATCTGAGTGCTTCAGAAACATACATTTATCTATGGGGTGGTATTATCCCCATTTTATAGATGGGGGAGCAGAGACAGATTAAGGTAAAAAGTTTCTACTAATTTTGGGTGCCCAATTTGAGACTCTAGGAACCGGACTTTTTTTCCAGAGCACTTAGCAGTGTACAGCACTTCATATATTCAGGAACAGCTTCTATTGACTTCAGTTGCAGCTGGGAGTGCTCATCACTTCTGCAAATCAAACCCTAGGGTCTCATGTCAGGCACCCAGAAAACGAGGAACACAAAATTAGTGACCACCTGTGAAAAGTTTGGCCTCCGTGACTTGACTTGCATCATACAGGAACTCTGTGCAAGAAGCAGGAACAGAATCAATTCACCAGGCCAGGATGCAGCTGCCTTTATTGTAAGATTGTCCTTTCTTTTTCCTGCAATCCCGTTTCATTCACTACACACCTTCCCACGCCATCAACAAATGATGTAGGGGTTCTACCACCAACAGCCTCATTTACTACACAACTCAGATTAATCCCCAGAGTATGTCCATCCTGTGCACTAAATGAGCCGGGGGTCCTATGGAAAAAACAACATGTTATCATGTAATTAAAGACTGTGTCACAATGCCTATGCACAGGTGGGCCAAATTAAGGTTGCGCAGGTAACCTTAGTTCTGGTATTTCCTAACTTTTGAGTGTTTGACTTTGCAACCTGAATAATTTTGTTTTAATGTTTTAACAATTTTCCTAGGTTTTAAAAAAGCAAACTGATAAAACAGAAATTCCATCATATTGACATCCTGATGGGTCCTCAACAGGGGTGGAGCTTTTAGAGCCACCACACAGACCTCTGCCACTTGAGCTAATGGAATAACTGAGAGCAATAGTAGGTTGTCATTGTCTATATCAGTGGTTCTCAAACTGGGGGTTGGAACACTCAGGGAGTCGCGAGGTTATTACATGGGGGGTCGTGAGCTGTCAGCCTCCACTCCAAACCCTGCTTTGCCTCCAGCATTTATAATGGTGTTAAATATATTTAAAAGTGTTTTTAATTTATAAGGGGGTCACACTCAGAGGCTTGCTATGTGAAAGGGTCACCAGTACAAAAGTTTGAGAACCACTGGTCTATATGGCTAGGAATGAGACCCACCCTTTGCCAGTGGGTTTCACTGACGTTTGGTGACAGCAGAGAGGTGGTGAGTCAGGAACCTTGAGTTTTATTCCAGGCTCTAGAGGGGAGTATTTTCTAGAGGACTGTAGTAAAGTTGCTGCTCCAACATCTCCCTCCGCTGCTGGCTGAATGCAGCAACTTTTCCTTCAGTTGCGCCGCCCCCCCCCCCCCAGTCATTTGGCCTACTCTGGCCATAAAAATGTTCTGGACCTCCAGCTAGACCATTTTTAAAGAGTCCTTTATGCAAAGTCCCACAGCAATGTAAACAAAACCAAACCTTGCCCTGCTGGGCTCAGCTGGCAGCCACAACATCCCAGGCATGCCTCTGCTGCTCTGTACTGGCCTCCTGGCTAACCAAAGGCTTCTGTGCCTTGCTCAGCCCCACAGCCCAGGAGCTGGCACACTCCTTCCCTCACTCAGGGTTCAGACAGGCTACAGCTCCCTCAGGGTCCCTGCCTCCATTCAGGCTTCCAGCTCACCCTTGGAGTAGCCTGTCTGGTCTGGTCTGGTCTCCTTCTCACCCTTCATTCATGCTGCTTCCCAGAGAGACTAAAGTTTCTGCCTTCTCTCGTGTTCTCCTCCCCACAGCTGGGCTCACCCTGCTCTATATGGAGACAAACCTTGCTCTCCCCGAGCTGGGCTTTATTTCGAATTAGGCCTGGCCCACCCTCCAGGGGTGAACAGACAGGTTAAGGGACATCTCAGGCCCTTTCCCAGCATGTGTGGGGTGAAAACCCCATCACAAAGACAGGTTTCAGAGTAGCAGCCGTGTTAGTCTGTATTCACAAAAAGAACAGGAGTTTTTATCACAAAGACAGACAATGATGCCTGTGCCACCAATCTTGACCCCTTCTCCCTCCCCTCCAACCTGTCCCAGTTCTGTCTCTTCCCTGCCCCGACTCTGTCCCATTCTCCTAACCTACCCAGTCCCAGTCTTCACTCCTCAGTCTTCTCAGCCCAGTCCCAGTCTCCTTGCACAGCCAGTCCCAGTTTGAACCTCCCACCAAACTCCTTGCCCCAAGTTGCCTTGCACAACCAATCTCAATTCTCCTTTCCTGGCTTCTTGCCCAGTCTGTCTTTTCCCTCCTGCTCCCTGGCTCCCAGTCCCAGACTCCTCATCCAATCTCAGTCTCCCTGGCTCATTGTTCCAGTCTCCATGCTCCAAGTCCCAATCTCTTTGCCAAACCAGCCTCAGTTCTCCTCCTGAGCCCCAACTCCTTGTCAGATATGTATCCCCTCCCAGTGGTTCTTAGATCGGAGTCGATCTATGTTTTCTAAAATTCTTTACTTGCTTTGATACAGTGGGCCAGATTCTCCATGGCCCTGCAACTTGGGTTTATTTACAGCAGTGCAAAGTGCATGTAAATTGTTACCATTATGATTTGGTAGCATTGTACACCCACTTCGCGCTGTTATGCTGCCTGTGGAGCCACTTACAATGGAGAATCTAGCCCACTATCTTGTCTCAAAGGGGTTCACATACGCAAAGCTCTCCAAAGTTGTCATCTTCTCAGATGAGCAATTTTTGTCTTGGGATCTGTCCAGAGTGACAGTCCAGATTCCCTTAATTTTTGTTTTAAAATTACCTCTAGGTTATGACTCCACAGTACACAAATAATACATCTCTGTTCCCTTGGCAGTACTAGATCAATTTGAAGTGTAAGCATCTCCCTTACAACATGACTTGGTTCCAGTACTTTATCCTGCTGGCCCTTTTGTGACTGAACCTGTGAATGGGAAGAAAATATTGCTGCTTTATTAAAATGTGATTTATCTTGTGGAACATAATGCTTAGCACCTATATAACACTGTATTTTTCAAAGTGATGTAAAATGTTAACTAAATCTCAGTATTGCAACTGGCCAAAACGTGGAATTTCCAGTTCATGAGAAATGATATTTTGAAATTTGGTTTCACTCCAAATCGGAACAAAACCATTTAAAAAAAAAATTCCTGTGAACTAGAAATTCAGATACATTTCTGTTTCAGAAAAACCCATACTGGTCTTCTCAGTTTGCTTTTTAGTTGCCAGTCATATTGCTTGGCTTAATTGAAAGCAGTTGATTTTTAAAATGCATTATATTCTAGGGCATTAGTCCTTTTTTTAGACTCCCATAGAGTTGAATGCTACAGGAGTCATGCTACCATAGCCTTTCTAATTGACTGCACAATATAGAGTATTTTCCCCTCATATTGAACAAATAGTATTGGAAAAGTTTTGTACAGCAGCTAGGATAATGGGGATAGTCAGGGATGTAAAGCAAGCGAACCCTGTAAACTTGCATTTCATTCCCACCTTCCTTATAGTGTGAGATTTTTGGGGCCTGCTGTACTGTAGAGAAAATGAAAACAAGCTGTGAGAGGGTCTGCTGTGGTTTTCGTTACTGTACTGTAAAACTGCAGGAGTGTAATAAATAGAGAGGCTATTTTTGTGCTAGATCAATGAAATGTATCAGAAATTTCACAAGAGCCTGTCATCATGAGATGTCTAGCTCAGTTATGGAGACTCCAGGTTAGGGCAGCACGAATCTTTTGCAATGAAGGCTCGAATCTGCTTTTATTGAAGTCAGTGGCAAAACACACTGAGGTTTGCACAAACCATAGTGAACGTCGGGACCTAGCCTTCAAGTTACATTTTTTAGGGTACAAACTGGCGAACTGAACCAACACTTTGCAAATCCAAAGCCTTGGGGCACAGCCTTAATAAAGCAGTTTGGAGGACCATCTGGCCTTCTAGCTGGTTATCTATACTGAAGGCCTGTATACTTTGGGGTTTGACTATCACCAATAGATTCACTCTCTTTGTACACAAATTGCTGTAATGCAGTACATAATAATTCTGGTGTCGTGCGGCCTGCTACTGTGTGTTTATATAATGATGAGGCCATACTGACTATCATCTGTAAAAGACAGAAGCAATTGAATTTGGTATCATCACAACACATTACATTAATACAGATCATTTATGTTTTAATTTTAATGACTTATGGAATACCTATTGGAGCCTAGGCACTTTTTGCAGAATTTACAAAATTTCATTATTGAGTGTCAATGCAGTGCACTAATTTTGTCACTACTATTCCACAAAGCTAGCATCCTAAATGTCTGCTTGGTTTATGTCCATGGTCCTTCACTGCTGATCTTAGGACAAGCCCCATTTTTAAAGTGAAATCCTTACCATATTTTAATTTGCTCCTTGAATTTGAACTGTTACCTGTAGTCATTTGCCATGCTCTGTCTGCCCCTCTCTATTTTAAAACATGATTTTAATTGTTTTGTGTTCATCTAAAATAGATATAATCACTGTTTACATGGACTCAGGGAACATATGAACAAACTGTGGCCAAA